GAATGCAGCTTTTGCTAATGGACAGGAGATGATCTTAGCTTCTCCATAACCAACTGTTCCCTTCATGTGTGACTGGTGCCTCCCGAGTCTGGGGGGCACCAGGTTGCCAAGCACGGAACCACCAGCGGCGAAACCAGAAGTGCGCTTCTGGTTTTGCAGCTGGTGCTTCCAGGGGGTGCACAGCCAATCTCAGGGGGTGCACCCGCGTGCACTCCCTACACATCACCAATGGTTCCTTTAGAACAAAAGAGGTTCAGTGGTCATGACAGTGTCCTTAGGCCCCCATTTCTGTGATCCACTTGAGTTTAAAAATGTGTGACGGCTCAAATTTTTAATGTGAATCCTAGGTGGTGGTGGTTTGCTGAATCAGGGTCTACAAAATGACAAAAGTGAGAAGAGAATGGTGTGGTTTTTATTCCTTTGGTCCCGATTTGGGCAAATTAAGAACATGTCAAAATGTAGTTCCAAATAGGGGTAAACATTAGCAGACTAGGACATGTAGATAGGGTCACAGGACCCTGGAAAGTCCTGACAATAGAAGTGAGAAAAGATTGTGAACTGGGGACAGATGTGTAATGACACAGGTGGGCACTTGGGGCAGGTGCTGTACACAGGGCCAGTGACAACTCCTCCCTCCCCTACCTCTTCCCCCCCAGCCAGTTGACTCCTGGCACAGCTACCCTGGTTACCCCACCCTAGTTATGCCACTGACTGAAGAGATTGTGAACTGGCTAGAATTAGGGCAGCATATGTGAAAAGCGAATTTTCAGTTTTATTTTTTTCTTTTGTCTGTGCTTTTGGAGCCGCTCTATTTTTGTCATTTTTTTAAGAACAGAGGGGAAACTAACTAGCTAAGTTTGGGAGATCTGGTGTGGTTCCCAGCCTGTCTAGATCTGCAGTTCTGACCATCCAGAGATGATACCAGGGCTATGCTGTTGGGCCAGTTTGCCTTTGAAGTTTACTGTTTTGTTCTTTTCTTAAACAAATGCCTCTTGGAACCTTGTCTATATGTTTGGAGATAAAGAACCTGTCTTTAGCTGCCGAGTTTGGGCCTCTGAGCCATAACACGCTGGTGCTGGCAGGGCGAAGACAGCACATTTGCATTGTCCTTCATTGATCAGACTCATTTGTACCCTTCTTTCCTAATAAACTTTTCTTTAATGCCAGCTCTTTGATTCTTGCCAGCTGTTGTAAATCTGTAATGGCACTGCTTTGCCTTCTGGGGATAATGCAAATGTAGAATTAAGGAAATTGTCCCTGGAGATCAGCAAAGCCCTGCTGATGACCTGCTGGTATAGAGCCCTGGCACAATGGTTTTGTTGCATGTTGTGACAGGGCAGTAAACCTGCCTTGCCACGAAACCCTGAAAGAACAAAGGAGGTGGAACAACTTACCCGAGCAAGCCCAGACAGGAAGCGGAGGTGCGGCAAACCCAGGCAAGGAAGGAACCGTGTGGAAGACCCGGATGGTAATTAGCCCAATCATCTGCAAGAGCCAGGACAACAGCGAATGGGATGCTGCTATGGCAACCGCAGCTGATCAGATCGAGGATTTAAAGAGATGCCAAGCAGGCAGCCACTGTCGATCCAGGGGAGGCAAAGGCAAGAAGAGGACCCTGGCTTGGGAGGGTTGGCTTCCCACCCATGCGGGGAAGAACGGGGCAAGTGACCAGGAGTGAGGAACAAGACCCCTAGAATCTGGCCAAGATAACCCATGGTCCAAAGCTCCCATAAATGAGAAATGATATGAGTAAACTCATAACATCTGGTGTGGAGAGGGCAGGGTACCCTGCTCTCTCCACACCAGATGTTATGGTGGAGCCTTGTGAAGAGGAGCCAACCTTCTCAGTCACATCCACCTCATCTTATAGGACTGCGCCTATCTTTAGTTCTTTCCTTTTCCCATCAAAGTCATGGTGGGTGAATTCAAGGAGACTATCCAGTCCTACATGAGAAATGGCTGCTTCGTTTGGGAAGATGTGGCTAAATCTCCACATGTCTTCAGACATGGGAGAAGAACATGCGGTTAGAAGAACCCCTGGGTCGCTGAGCCCAGGTTTCCTGCATTCTCATGGAATTATTAACCCAAAGATTCTTAAAAATAGTCCACTCCAAATACATGCACACTTCTACTCCAAGGTGCAAAGCCAGACATGCCAAGAACATCCTACAAGTTGCCAGAGACAACAGAAATGAATATTCTGTGAAGAACATTGTGAGAAACAGTAATAGCAGAGGTTGCTACACATAAAAAGTTAGCCTGTGAAAGAGCTAAAGGAAGAGCTAAAGCCTGTGCATTCAGATAACTTCAACAGGGGAGAAGCAGATACAGTTATCTCTGAACTGGCTGTTTCCTGTAACGAATGATTTGCCTGACATAATACTTAAGGTCCCATAAAATAGAAGAATATCTCTGTTTTATTCAGGAACAAGGTGAATAGACATGGTGACATTACCCTCTGGGAGCTCTTGTATCAGGTGCCAGACTCTGTTTCGCTTATTGGGTGTGATTCTGTTCCACCCTGCTCAAGGCCCTAAAAATTCAATAATGAAACTACTTTTGCAACACACTGTCCTTTGACCCTTAACAGTGAGAAGGTGGAGGCCCCACTGTCTAAACTGTTTTTCAGGGACTTGAACAGGGTGGAATAAAAATAGGATACTTAAGTCCATTTACAGGGATATAGGTTGTAGCCATGTTGGTCTAAGGCAGTGATTTCCAACCTTTTTAAGCAGGAGATCACCTTTGGCATTTAAAAGCAACCCAAGATATACCGTGCACTGCTGCCACCCCCTCCCCCACACAGCAGGTTAATCTGTGGGGAGGGAAGAGTGGGGGCAGATCGAGAAAAAATTATTTGGGGGTGCGCCTCCCCAGCAGGTAAGTCCCACCTGGCCAGGGCCCCACTCAGCTTATCCCTGCTTCTGCCTCTGTGGCATTATCCCTCACCGCAGGGGCCTTGATCTAGCCTCCGCCCCTTCCCTCCCCCATGGACTGACCTGATGGGTTGGGGCACATGCGTGCATGCATGCGTGCATGTAGCCCCCCCCATCCCAGCCTCAGATCGACTCCAAGAGGCTCTAAGATCTATCAGTGGATTGAGATCCACTGGTATGTGACCACTGGTCTAAGGACTTGTCTGCCTGAAGTCCATTTAGGCAGACAAGGTTCCTTGGGTGAAATACATTTATGCACTTAATAGGGGCAGTAGAATTGGAGCCAGGTGAATACTTCTGTAATTAGCAAAGCTGTTATTAGACTGAGCTGTTATTAGCTGCCCTGCAGGACTGATGGACTGCTGCTGTACCATCACAACAAGTAACTGCTTAAAGATTCCGTAGCCTTATGTCAGAAGCCAGCCACACCCACATTCTGGCATAGTGTTGCAATGTGAAAATGAAGAAATCGGAGAAAATTAGGGTTGGAAGGGACCTCAGGAGGTCATCTAGTTCAATGCCTTGCTCAAAGCAGGACCATCCCCAACTAGATCATCCCACCCAAAGCTCTGCCTACCCAGGTCTTGAAAACCTCCAGTGATGGAGCTTCCACCATCTCTCTGGGTAACCTGTTCCAGTGTTTTACTACCCTCCTAGTGAGAAAATTCTTCTAATATGTAACCTAAACTTCCCTTGCTGCAACTTGAGACAGTTGCTTCTTGTTTTGTTATCTGCCACCACTGAGAACAGTCTAGCTCCATCATCTTTCGAACCTCCCTTCAGGTAGTTGAAGGGAGGTTCAAAAGATTAAACACCACCCCCGCCATGAAATCTCTCCTCAGCCTTCTCTTCTCTAGACTAAACAAGCCTAGTTCCCTCAGCCTTTCCTCATAAATCATGCGCCCCAGCCCCCTCACCATTTTTGTTCTTCTCTGTTCTGCTGTGGTACTGTGTTATAACATCATTCCAGAACTTTGGAAGATTGTGCATATAAGTCCAGCTGTCCTGTGACACAAGGAGTGTCCCTTCAATGGCAGCTACAAAACTAACTCTTGATCCAGAGCCAGACAGGGAAGGGGGAGGAAGGGACATCTGTCAAAATCTGCTCCTCCTCTTCCCCTGCAAAGGGGTTGGAACAGGTCCTTGTGCATCATGCTGGAGCGGGTTGAGCCAGCGGGGGCCCAGGGCGTGGGTCGGCAGGGGCTCTATGGAGCCAGGCTGGGCTGTGCCAGCAGGGAGAGGGGGAGCCAGTTCGGCTCCATAGACCCCATGCTGGCCTGCACCCTGGTCTGGGTCCCTGATGCAGGCCCCGTGCTCCCACCCAGGTGTTGCTGTGCTCCCGCACGCCCAGTCGCTGCCACTACCCTGCCGCCTGCCACCACCACTGCCCAACCCCACCCCCCCACCCGCTGCTTCAGCATCACGTGGTTCCTGGCTACAGTGCCCTCCACTGTAAATTCTCATAAGCAGACTCCACCTGAAGCCCTCATAGCTAATCCTGCCATCTAGACAAGCATCTGTATGCGCTAGTCTATGGGGAGTCTCTCTTTTCCCTCCTAGGCTCTAGAGACAGACATTCAAAAAGCCTGAGCCTGAATTGATTCAGTCTTTGCAGGTTAGTCTAACCTGGCTAGGCTAAATCAGTTTTGTAACTGGACAGACATCCCAGAAATACAGGCACATGCCTGCAGTGGCTCAGGCCAGAAGCTGGGGGGTGCTAGAGGAGCCCTCCCTTCCTTCCACAGTACTGAGCTGAGGGGAGCATGGCCAGGCCCTGGCAGGACACTCTGATTAGCTCAGCAGGGAATTGACAATGGTGTTTCTCACCCCCTAAATAAGTGTTTATCACCCAATTAAGAAAACAATACAGGGACATTATCAGCTACTTGTTGATTCTGCCTGTTGATTCTACCTGCTGATTCAGCAGGTAGTCTGCAAGCTAATACATAGACACCTCCTCAGCAAGGCAGAGGGGAGGGGGGGAATTCTTGCTTAGCAGGGAGTGGTGAGGGGCGGGGGGCAGCAGCCCACAGTCTCTGGAGCTGCAGCCAGAGGGGAGGGGTCAGCCCTGCTATGGAGCAGAGAGCCCTGCCCAGCCCAAAGAGCATGCCGGGATGCTAGGGGTCTCTGTTTTAACTTAAACTAGGAAGGGGTCTGGGACAGGCTGAATTCAAGCACTGCTTGGGAACCCACGTGGTGGATGAAAGATAGCGTGTGACTCTATAATTATAATAATAGGCTTATTTTGTCTGTCCGCAGCACTCTGATTGGTTGTCTCAGCAGCCAATCACAATGCGTACTGAAACAAGCAATCAGAGTGCTCCGGACAGACAGTGCTCAGGACAGATGGAATAAGCATGTTATTATTATAGATCCTGAGGCATTTCAAACAGATATGCTGGCAAGTCAGAGCTAGAATGAACCACTGGGGCCTCCTGCCACAGAGCGGGCAGGCTCTGCTGAAGGAAAAAAAAAAAAAGCGGTGAGGGACCTGATCCTATTTTTTTTCTCGGAGCCTGCCCACCTCTCTCAAGGCTGTGGGGCGAGCTGCTGAGAGGCCCTGGTGCTTCTTTCCACACTGGAGGTGCCCCCCCATGACCACCCAGGCAGGGTGCCAGCAGGTGGGTGCTGCTTGGGGAGTGCTGCCACCATGGAGGGAAGCACTGGGGTCTCCTACAGCTCAGGGGCTGCACAACCCACCTGCAGCTCACTCCCCAGCTGTGGGAGACTCAGGCAGGATCCGGGAGAAAAATAAAGTTCAGGCCTCTGGCTGCTTTTTTTCTTTCCTTGGTGGAGCCTGCCCTTGAGAGCTGCCATTGCGTCACGCCACCCCTGAGCAGCGGGGGAGCCCAGTGCTTCCCTCCTTGGCAGTGGTGTCCCTGGGGGCAACCTGGGCGGGTTGTTAGCTGCACGGGTGCAGCCACAGCTTGCAGGCAGCACCCGCCAGATCCAACGGTGCCCGGGGCGCTGGAAGCCCAGGCATGCTCAGGGAAGCTTGGGCTTGGTGGGCTTCCAGCACCCTGTGCACCAACCCTGCTGCCTGGGACCACCTGGAAATGAGCTGGCTGCCCTGGGAAGGTGGCAGGAGGGTGGCTGGATGTGCTGGCAGCCAGAGAAGGTGATGAGGATGGTGCACAGGGCACTGGAAGCCCGCTAAGCCCAAGCTTCCCCAAGCACACCCGGACTTCCAGTGCCCCATGCACCATCCCGGCTGCCTTATCCGGATCGGGCCCTTGTACACATGAGGAATATCGCTGTAATTTACATAACAAGCTAAAATACATGGGATGTGTTTTAGTTTGCTATGTAAAAAAGACATTTAAATCAAAATATGCCACCAAACGTGTACACTGTTACACAATTAAATCGTTAGAAAAGGCAATTAAATCACTAAAAGGGGCAATTTCCTCACGTGTACAAGGGCCTTCTTATTCTATGACTATGAACAAGACACAAGGTCAGACTTTTGACAAAATATTTATTTATATTTCTATGCCTGTGTTTACACATGGACAGTTTTATGTAGCCTTTTTGAGGGATTATTCCATAGAATCGCTCCAAATTTCCTTTTCAGTTTACCCTGAACCCAGTTATTTTCCTCTAATTTTTTGATCCAGCCACCATACCCAAAAATCCCATTACCTGCCCAGCTCTAGCCACTGTCCTTTATACCTTTGCCTGTGGCTCCTGGGAAATGATCAGTTCCATGGTTGGCTCATGCTTTTCTGGGCTTTTCCACTGTCATTGTTCAGGAATGGTGAAGGATAATAGCATCTGGAATAGCAGGGCTAAGAGCTTGTAAGACCTATTCCCTGCAAGCAAAATATCGAGATCTATCTGAAGCAAAAAAATGGTGTTTCTCTTTGGACCTGGAAAGTATGGCGCAGGTCTGGCCATGGCACATAACCTACTAAGGCTGGGTGGAGATTATATAAACTACTTCAAGATCGTTTCAGGCTGGACATAAGGAAGAACTTCTTTACTGTCCGAGCCCCCAAGGTCTGGAACAGCCTGCCACCGGAGGTGGTTCAAGCACCTTCATTGAACACCTTCAAGATGAAACTGGATGCTTAACTTGCTGGGATCCTATGACCCCAGCTGACTTCCTGCCCTTTGGGCAGGGGGCTGGACTCGATGATCTTCCGAGGTCCCTTCCAGCCCTGATGTCTATGAAATCTATGAAAGTCTATGAAACCTGTGGCTAAACTCCAACTTTCTGAGCTAACCAGGACTTTCTGCTCTTTTCAGACAGGAAAGCTTGACCCACACTACCCTCGAGTATGTGGGCACAAAGGGAATGTGCTGGACATCAAGTGGAACCCTTTTAATGACTTTGTAATAGCTTCCTGCTCAGAAGATGCCACTGTAAGTTTGTCAGCTTGCTCTCGGTCACGAGCCAGCCAAAGCACTTGTTTGGGAAAGAAATTGTACCATTCAGGGAGAAGCATGCCTTGGTTTCCTCTTCTTGAACTTGTGTAAAGAATACTTTCCTTCTATTCCCAACTTACAATCAAGCCCATAATGCTTAGTGAGCTTTTTCCTTCAACAGGAGCCTACAGTCTAAATGGTGAAATACTAAACAGACTCACATTTAAAAACAAGCCTGAGGCTCTGTCCTGGGCTCAGAACCATGGGCTCCCATGTAGACATGGGTGAGATATGTCCTGGGCTCAGTGAGAGAAGGAAACTCTGAATTAGGTACTTTTCCAATGCAACATACTCCTTGGGCTTGTTTACACAAGCAAGTTAATTTGGATTAGTATAGGGCCTGAATTTAAAGCAGAACAGCTAGTTTTGATTGACACGTTGTGTGGGCACACTTATTCCAGACTGAGAGCATCCCCACGAGGTGCATCTACATGAGATGTTTACTGTGGAGCTAACTAATTAGCTCTATACTAAACATTGTGCATCTAGACGTGCACTTCTATTAGGCTGGAGTAAACTAACCAACTCTGCAGCAGAATAGTACTTATATTTACAAGTTTTTTACTCCACAGCAGCACAGTTTACTCCATACTGCACTGGCTGGCTGGGGCATGAGGGTGCTTCAGTGAGGGGGCTGCCTGCAGGCTAGCCCCATGCTAAAGTTCCCTCATGCCCCAGCCAGCCCCTCTGCAGTACCCTGAGCTGCAGGAAGCAGCCCTGAGTTAGCAGGCTGACCCCCAGGGCCCCCTGCCAGCCAGGGCTGCTCTGACCTGACACAACGTGCTGCGTTCCCGGGATCATGATCAAACAATGCACCTGGGAACAACAAACTCCAAAGCAATAAGTTCTGGAATGTATTGTTTTGCATTATTTGCACATGTAGACTTGCCCACAGAGTGTAATTAGGATTTGCTAATCAAGAATAGATTTTCTTAAATAGCACCCTTCTGTGGAGTCACTCTGGCTCAAACAGGTAGAAGTAAGTTGAGTCTGAAGAACACCACTGAAATAACTGGATCTGCTTGAGGAAAAATCTCACATGAAGTTGACAGTCAAGGAAATTAAAAGGGGGCAAGTTCAAAACTAACACAAGGAAATACTTTTAGCTTGTGGAACTCACTGCTACAGGAAGTTACCAAGGTCAAAAATGTAGCCAGATGGAGAAAGGAATTGGCATTTCCTTAGGATGGATATTGAGACTATCCAGAGTTACAGTGGTTGATGCTAATGCAAATGGTGGAAGTAAGAGCAAACCAAATAGGTCAGGGGTTGAGCTGCTCTCCAAGGGTATGTCTATACTGTAGACAAAGAGTGACTGCAGAGTAGATCCAGATATGTAAGCCTGGCACCTAAAGGTAACTTAGGAGGGATTTAAACACTTCAATCATGAAAAGTGATCCAAAATATCCAGGCTATCTCTGTTCCAGTGGCCCCAAATCTCAGTGGGTACCTACCTTAATTTATTGTCCACGTTTTGGACTTCAGAGTTCCCTGTGCATCTAGTCTTTGCATTGTCCCAAAGCAGGTCAGTTTGAGAAGCAAGGCACCTAGGTCCTGTCTGAGCTCCATTATGATACCAATATGAGGCATAGTGGCACCTAAATGCTGTCTAAATCCCCAGAAGGGCCCAAATCTGTAGACATGTTTGGAACAGGATCAATGCAAGCAAAGAGCTTTGTGTTCAGTGTAAAGTGTGGCAGTCATGGCCACCTTCACTCAGAAACAAAATTGGAAGGAAGTAGAGCTCACTTTTTGCATAATAGTGTGGTGGTTAGAGCATATACCCAGGAAGCAGAGTACCTGGGTTCTAGCTGCTCCTTGGCTTAAAGTTATTCCAACTAATGTCTCCCAGGAGAGCTCGCTCTTCAACTGCCAGGCTATAGACATGCCTGATTATGGGGACTCTGATGGAGCTGGACTGCTGGGCCACCAAGATTTCAAGAGTCCTACAGCTAGAAGGAGAGTAAATCAAAGGGAGCCTGTAGTTCAATGACTTTCTATGATTAAGTTTAATGGTTAGAGCACTCAGCTTGGATAGGGGGTTTCTTCATTAGGCCATCAATGGATAGAAACCAGGAATAGTTATAGGAGAGGGGACCCGAACTTGCCTCCACACAAGTGAATGCCAGCTTGGCACAAAAATTGACAGTAGGACATAAAATCATAGAAAGTTAAGGTCAATGCAGGACCATTCCTAACTAGATCATTCTAGCCTGGGCCAAACTGGATTAGTATGGAGTGTGGAGTGGCTCCTTGGCACTTCATCTGAGGCTGCTGCCTTTGTGGTGGACAAATTGGGAAAAAAGTTCAGCAAAGAGCAGCAAAAATTATTAGCAGTCTGGGAAACATGGCCTATGAGAAACAGTTGGAAGAACTAGGAATATTTAATCCAGAGAAGAAAAGATTGAGGGGGAGATTTGATAACTGTCTTCAAATACCAGAAGGATAGTTATATAGATACTGTATATAGAGTTATACAGAAAAATATAGAGTTATACAGGAGACAAGACAAGAAATAACAGTCTTAAATTACAAGGGACATTTAAGACAGATATGAGGAAAAATGTTCTAACTGTGAAGGTGGTTCAGCACTGGAATAGGTAACCCAGAGAGGTAGTGGAGTCTCCATCCCTGGAAGTTTTTAAGAGCAAGTTAGACAAATACTTGTCTGGTATGCTTTATACTAGGATGATCCTGCTGTGACCAAGGGGCTGAACTAGATGAACTCCTAAGGTCCCCTCAGGCTCTTTTCCATATTTCAATGATTTGGTTAAATGATATGTGTGGAGGCCAATGTCAAATGCTTTCTGGTCCAATTCAAGACCGCTTGGAATAAAGAGGAAGCCCTGCTTTGAATGTACTGGTTGCTGGGTTAGCTCTCGAGTATCTTGGCATTGTCCTGAGAGAAATATCTGGTCTCTGGACCATGAGTTCCCCTAATTTGACATCAGTGGTGCTGATGATTTACTTGACCAAATTTTAGTGATAGATTGCCTCATACTAGCACAGATATCTGGTGACACAACACTGTATTTACACAGAGACCTTTTTGTGGTGTGCTGTGCAGGTCAAGATCTGGGACATCCCCAAGCATTTGCTAACAAGAAACATCACCAACGCAAAGAAGGAACTCCTCGGCCATGCACGGCGGGTTGGCCTCATCGAATGGCACCCCACTGCCAATAACATCCTCTTCAGCTCTGGTTATGACTATAAGGTTTGTTGGTATTCAGCAAGGCCCAGAGGGGCCATGTCTCCTGCTTCAAATGGTAGCATGCACAGCTGAGCCTTGCACAGTGGAGGCGGGACCTACAGGTGTTTGCAAGGGGAAAGCTCTGCCCCATATATGCTGTGCTTCTGCAGAATCACTTTTATTGGTACACTTCCCTGTTATTGTCTTTTCTAAAAGAGGGCCAAGGCCTGTCAAGCTGCATGGGGGAGTTCTCCAGAAGTAGCCCTACTCTGTCCTGTGGTTCCCTGCAAGGGGAAGAGGTCATGGGCTGGAAGTCACTGGGGAGGAGGTTGAGGGCAAGTTGATGGTCTGGGCTTGAAGGGCCAAGGCTGGGGTTTTACAAGCAGGGTGAGCTGGACCTCCTCAGCCTCTGTGGGTCTCAGTGGTTTGAGTCAGACTAGCTCTCAGAAGCAGTAGAACAAGACAGGCTGGGAAATGTAAAAACATTGGTGATGTAAAAAAATGAAGGTAAAAAAGGGGCACAGAAAGGTAAACAGGAAACAGGTGTGTCTACATATGCAATTAATATGAAGCAATAAACTCTAGAGCTTATTGCTCCAGAGTTTATTGTTTCTAGGCATGCCATTTGCATGTGCACCCAGGCCCACAGCACGTTGAGCCAAGTTGGAGCAGCCCCGGCTGGCAGGGAGCCTGGGGGGTTGGTCTGGCAGCTGCTCCCCCTGGCTTAACATATGGCAGAGGGGTTGACTGGGGCATGAGGGTGCTTGAGTGGGTGGGGACTAGCCAGCAGGCAGCCCCCACACTGAAGCACCCTCGTGCCCCAGCCAGCCAGGACAGCATCTACACGTGTGCTGCTGCTGAGTTCTTTACTTCACAGCAAGATAGTACCTGTATTTATAAGTACTATCCTGCTCTGGAATAAATCAGTTTACTCCAGCTTAAGAGGGGTGCACGTGTAGATGCGCAACATTTACTGCAGAGCTAATTAGTCTACTCTGAAGTAAACCTTTCATATAGCTCCAGTAGCTTTCATATAGCTCGTATAGCTTTCATATAGCTGCAGTAAACCTTTCATATAGTTCCTTTCGTACAGTTCCAATACGTCGACTCAGATCTCGCTGATGGAACAGCCATTTTTCTTGCACTTACTGTAAAATTAACAAGTTCAAAGGGAAAGGGCTTGAGAACTTATTTGTTTGCTTCAGATTATGATATGGAACCTCGACACAAAGGAGACGGTCATTCAGAATCCAGTGAAGATCTTCAATTCTCACAAGGATGTGATCCTCTCCATGTCATTCAACATGGATGGCAGTCTGCTAGCCACAGCTTGCCGAGACAGAAAGATACGGATTTTTGAGCCTCAGACAGGCACAGTTGTACAGGTAGGCTGGGGTCAGAAACTTGAATCCAGTGCAGCTGACTTTGTGAGTCCTCTTCTGTAAAGGTTTATTGAATATTTGGAAGGCCGCAGTTGTGTGCAGCCATGGCAGAAGGGAGATGAGCTTTCATTGGGAGAACCAGGGGGTGATTATTCCTATAAGCAAGGTGCAAGTGCCAGAGAGAATCCTGGAGCAGACTGACCAGTGAATTCTGGCTCTGCTCCAAGGCGATTCCTTAGTGTCACAAAACAGCCATGACCCTGGGACTGTGCAATTGGAAACCAGCTCATGGCCTCCTTCCTAATCCAGAAATGAAAAAGCTGCATCCATATAAACTAATTAACTTGGAAGTAATTAGTATTGTCACTGCTAAGAAGCACCATACAGATTGGTTCCACTGCTTCTGGTTTAGGAGGCAGCACTCTGGGAGCAGTGTGGTTTGTGTGAGGCAAAGATTAATTTACCAGAGAGATTGGATTCCTCCAAATGTCAGTTGACAATGGGAAAAGATTTCTTTCCACAATGTACTGTTCACTTTGGAAATCACAGTAACATGCCATCTCTCCCTACAGGAAGCCAGCTACAAGTCTCACAGAGTGAATAAAGTTTTGTTTCTAGGAAACATGAAAAAGCTGCTCTCTACTGGCACATCCCGGTGGAATAATAGGCAGATAGTCTTATGGGATCAGGTGAGTCAGACCAGCAGCCCAGTATATTCACATCCACAGTTTTCTAGACTTTGTAACTGTCATGTTAACAGTTGTACCTACCAAATACCCAATAATTAATATGTAGCCAGCGTTCAGAGGCATCTGTCCAGGTAAAAGCTCTTTGTGACTCATCATTTGGTTTGTACCACATTATTCAATGCAAATGAACATAGCTTGGCAGCAGAGAAATTACTCAAAGTAGTGAGACACAGGAACAAGGCAGACAGCAATCAACTGGAGGTACAGAGCTGTTCCAAGGACCTTGGGGGTTTTGGATGCAGTTCTTAGTTCTTGGTATCATTGCACTCAATGCCAAAAAGTCTACTGTTTCCCACTGGAGCAGAATTAAGCCCCACATTGGCTCAGTAGGGCTTCAAGGGAGGAAAGTATCTGCTGTTTAATTTTGGCAGTGAGTTGCACTTAATCATTTGGAGAACATTTACCCCAATCTACTGGCAAGGCATGTGCCTCCTGTCAAGATGGGTGCTGGTCAAGAAAGGATATTTTAGTGTTGCATCATTAACTAGAGAGCAATGAAGGGGCTGTTCCATCACTGGTATGTGCAGCTTCCCATTAGCTGGCCACCTGTGCTGCTGGATACAGTGTCCACAAGCAGGAGGTGCTGCTGGAGCAATGTCCATCCCAACAACATGCTAGCCAGTTCTTCTGGGACATGGTGCTGAGCTTGTCCTAAGCAGGCTCATCTCTGGTAGGTCTGCCCCAGGTGATGGCAGTGGTGGCTCTGCAGAGTCACAAGCCTGTATCCTCTGTGCCAAATAACCTGTTTGTGACCCTTTGCCAATCTCCCTGTGGCTGGCTTGCTAGGTAGTGAGCAACTCCTCCTAGCAGCTTTGCCACTCCAGCTACCCTTCAACTTTGCCCTGGTAGGCAGAACCCTTCAGGCTCACCTGCTTTGTGAGGGGGGATGTGCCAGTTTCCTACACTGCACAGACCTTGGACCCAACCAGCACCTTCCTAGACCCCTCACAAAATGCTCTGCCCCCATGTAGGTGCCCCCATGTAGGTGTCCATGTAGTGGACACCTTTGAGCTGATACCTCCATACAAGGAGCCAGGGTGGCTTCTCCCCACCATCATCTTGAGGGATTCCAGGATGTGGCCTGTTGTCTTCACAGCTCTCTCTCTATCAGGGAGTTACACTCTGTGTTTTGGACCAGGGGCATTTGGGTTGATCCATGTCCATGTCCTGTGAGAAGAAGCTCCTCTCCGAGGTCATTTGTGATGGGAGTTGTTTTCTCTCTCCTTTTTTATGCCCAGAATGATCTTTCAGTGCCTTTATTAGAGGAGGATCTAGATGGCTCCTCAGGGCTGCTCTTCCCTTTTTATGACTCAGATACAAACATGCTGTATGTTGTGAGCAAGGTAAGTGCTTTTCCTTGGAATGGATGTTAGCACAGTTGGTTATGCTCCCTGCTAGGGGCTGCTGCTTTAAATCAATTTGCATGATACGAGACTCATGCCTTGATGCTTTAAAAAGATTCTCAACTAAATGTGAGGATACCTCTTGGCAGACAGACAGATGCAAAGGATGAAATCAAGACTCCCCTTCCCACAGAAGGGCCTGTGCTAGACATGGGAAGAAAGGCAGTATAGTTGTGGCAGCAGAGAGCCAGCTTTTAGATGGAGCATGGTCACTTATGATTATATTGCACTGCTGAGAGCTGGGGTCTGCCCTTGATGACAAGGTGAGCTCTTCCAGTCACTTCCCAGTATACTCTGCACTCACAGAATCATAGAATCATAGAAGTAGGGTCGGAAGGGACCTTGTAGATCTTCAAGTCTGACCCCCTGCCTGGGCAGGAGGGAAACTGGGCTCAAATGACCCCAGCCAGGTAGGCATCAAGCCTCTTCTTAAAGACCCCCAGGATAGGAGCCAGCACCACTTCCCTTGGAAGTTGGTTCCAGATCGTAGCCGCCCTAACTGTGAAGTAGTACTTACGGATGTCTAATCTAAACCTACTCTCCAACAACTTGTGGCCGTTATTCCTTGTTATCTCGGGGAGTGCTAGGGGAAACAAGATCTCCCCCAAACCCTTCTGGTCCCCCCTAGTGAGTTTATAGGTGGTCACCAGGTCCCCCCTCAGCCTTCTCTTGTGAAGGCTGAACAGGTTCAGGTCCTGTAGCCTCTCATTGTAGGTAGGGTCTGCCCTGCTGTCCCCGGATCATGCGGGTGGCCCTTCTCTGGACCCTCTCGATGTTGTCCATATCCCTCTTGAAGTGGGGTGCCCAGAACTGGACACAGTACTCCAGCTGTGGCCTGACCAGTGTTGCGTAGAGGGGGAGGATCACCTCCTTGGCCCTACTTGAGATGCACCTGTGGATGCACGATAAGGTCCGGTTAGCCCTGCCAACCGTGACCTCGCATTGTTGGCCCATGTTCATCTTGGAGTCATTACTGACTCCAAGATCCCTTTCTGCCTCCGTGCTCTCAAGAAGGGAGTTTCCCATCTTATAAGTGTGCTGCTGGTTACTACTGCCCAAGTGCAGCACCCTGCACTTGTCAGTATTGAAACGCATCCTGTTTTTGTTAGCCCACCCCTGCAACCTATCCAGGTCTTGCTGCAGTCTTTCCCTCCCTACTAGCGTGCCCACTTCACCCCAAATTTTGGTATCACCAGCAACTCCCAGGTCCCCGAGTCAGTTTTCACTAGTATCACATATGCTTACAGCACTCAGATGCTTGCCCAGATGGACCAGATCTTGCAAATGCAGCCTTATGTCAAGCATGTGAGCTGAAGACATGGTCTTCCGTGGGAGGACTTGTAGGTGTAATGTTGGGTAGGTGCATGAGCTTTTACAGGATCAGGGTCCAGGTGAGCCAAGGTCTTCAACATGTCTGTCATCTACTCCTTGCAGGGGGCAATAATAAACCCACAAACAAGGGTGGATCTAGTATTTTGAAAAAGAGGGTGTGGATGGTATGATGCATAATGATATGGTATGGTGCAACACAACCCATATTTTTCTCCAGGTAAAAATAAACTAAAAGCTGTACTAATATGCCTGGTTATGTACAAACTCATGCCATGACAAGATTTGAGGCTTAGGGAGTTTTGCAGGTGGATCCAGTGGCAGCACATGAGGCACAGTCTTTGTCCAGCCTTGCAGTCTTGCATAATTGCCATGGGATGGGGCCAGATTCCATGGCGAGGCACATTTATTTGGACAGCAGGTTGACTTTGGTCATTTCAGAGCTTTTGACCTCAGTTAAAATGGGAAATGACACCATAAGGCCAATCCCTCATGGGAGTGAGGAGGTTAAAGCTGGTATTCACAGAGAAAGGGCTCCCTTCTTGTCCACTAGAATGGCATTTGGAGTCACCCCTCTCTTGAGTCCTCCTCTGTGCAGTGGGAGCTAAGCCAGGCCTTGCATTGATTCTCCTTGTCTCCAGGGTGATGGGAACATTCGCTACTATGAGATAAGCATGGAGAAGCCATACCTGAACTTCCTGATGGAGTACCGTTCCCACATACCACAGAAAGGCATTGGTGAGTCTGTGGCCTGGATTGCTAGCATAGCTGTGGGCTCAGCATTTGAGACCATAACAATTTGGGGTCCACAATAACACACTCTGGGGCCTAACTCAGACCTCACATCAGACAGATATAAAAGCTACCGACTCTGCCTGTGTGTTCTTGGGATTTCCATCTATGTTCTCAATAGCACAGTCCCAAGGGCTCTGAGGCTAGAGGGGCCTATTCTGAACACCACCTCTGAGCTACAACTCTGTTCCTAGAGGTAGAAAGTACACTACACAGCAAGGCACATAGATTTCATAGCCATTAGGGCTGGAAGGGACTTTGCAAAATCATTGGTTCCAGCCCCCTGCCCAAGGGACAGGAAGTCAGCTGGGGTCAGATCACCCCAGCAAGATAAGCATCCATTTGAGTCACTCTCTGACCCGAGCACCCAAGGAAGAAGGAAACACTGCATTCAGTGCCATGGCAATCAGACGGTTTATGAAAATGTTCTCTAGGCTCCATCTAACAAGTATAGATCCTTGTAAGGCCACAGTCGCCTTGGGCCCAACCACATATTAAAATTAATGCTGGATAGAAACCAGCTATAAAATTGTTACACATTTTCAAGCACTAATTTGGTAGCTGGTTGGCTCTTTTTATAGCTGGATGGACATTTTTATGGCATGATAATTACTCTGCACATGTGGCTGGTCTAAATTTATTCTGTGATTAATCAGTTAATTGTGTGATAATTACTTTGCAAGTGTGGCCAGTCTACATTTATTGCACAATTAACCAATTCATTACATAATGTATGTAATTTGTGGCAAAAACCCTAGTGGCAGTATTGCCAACTCACAATTTTTAGCGTTGTTCTTAAAGTCTCCACTTTGGGAATGTGAAAAACTTAGCTCTTTCTTATATATATAGATATATATAACTATATACAAAATAAAGAGCTATATTTTTCACATTCCCAAAGCATAGACTTTAAGAACAATGCCAAAAATCCTGAGAGTTGAGTTGACAACACTGTGTCCAGTTGGATGTGAGTGTGTGTTATTGCCACCATTAATGAAGTGCGTGACTGTTAGTGCCCTTGTTACTGTTACAGCACTAATAAGCCAAGATGTTATTAGCATATCTGTGCCAAAACGAATGCCATCTCTCAGCCAGGCATGCTGCCTGTGGTGAGGGATGCTGAGTCAATGACCTTCGCTTGCTTAAATTCACTTGGAAAAGGGATGGGGTCAGTCCTCCCTGGTGATTGTGCCCAGCCTGCTCCCAAACCATGCCTGCCATCTGCTGTGCTCTGTCATCAGGGGCCATGCCGAAGAGAGGCCTTGATGTGTCAGCCTGTGAGATCTTCCGATTCTACAAGCTGATCCCAACCAAAAGCCTGATCGAGCCCGTTTCCATGATTGTGCCACGGCGGGTAAGCAGGCCTCTGCCATGCATGTGGGCCCATCCACCAGATCTGGTAGAGGACAGCTAAGCAGGGGCTGTATGACCTCTGGGAAAGCCCTTGGGCCTATTCCTCAGCCGAGGTGGGAGATGGGTGCTGCCTGAACCAAAGATTATTTCCTAAGGAAAGACAGCTTGTGATAGCCTGTTACATGGCTTGTAGCTATGGAAGGCTCTTACCCAGCCATGTGTGTGGGACAGACAATGACACTATAGTATGTAAGAACATTCTAAACTGCTCGTGGCCTTTATTGGAATAACACAGTGAAAGGGCCTGCACTGGGGTTTCAGCTCCTTGGAAGAATAATGTTGCCAGCACCAAGCTTCATGCTGCCATACTGAAGCCATTCCCCATGTCTGAGCTGGCTAGCTTAAAGCTAGCTTGGAGAGCTATATGTACCACTGTATACATGCCTGGGACTGCAGTGTAGATATCCCAGTCAGGAAGACCAGAAGCATTTCGCACCCACATCACTTTAGCTTTCACTTTGGCTGTGACTCTGTAAGCTACTAAATCTACTTCTGTCAGCTATTAAATCCCCTGACACCACTCAGTCCAGCTTCCCTGTGAGGAGGCTATTCTTATGGCAACTGATTATGTGAGTCCATGGAGTCCATGATGGGCACCACAGTGAGTACTTATACCTCTCCATCTCTGCTCCTCAGATATACAGCCCACCTGCTCCTCAGATATAGCTGTCTGCATCAGCCCAGCTCTGCCATCAAGCCACCTAGCTCATCTCTGTGGGTGTTACATCTTTGAGGTTCGCTTTGGGTGCAGTCCCAATCCTTTGAAACCTAGCAGAAGTTCTGCTGCAAGTATTAACAGGACCAGGTTGTCTATATCCATATACTGCTAGGAGAATTATCAGCCTGGAACGCACCTTGTAACACTCTGCTCTTCCAGGCAAGGGGATGTTGTGAGCCAAAGCAACAAGGAACTTCTAGGGGAATCATCATCCCAGTAAAGGCCAGGCAAGGGGTTTCTGGGTCAGGATGGGTAGAGGTTCCTACACATTAGGAACCATTACCTGTCAGTGTCTAGGCTGCCCTGCTGAGAAATGGCCCTTTTTTGGCCAGCAAGCTTGGCAGCAGCTGGAGGCTCCAGTAGCAATTTTGTGTGTTTTCCCTGTGTGTTTGCAGTCAGAATCTTACCAGGAGGACATCTACCCCATGACAGCTGGGACCCAGCCAGCACTGACATCTCAGGAGTGGCTGAATGGAATCAATAAAGGTCAGGCCTGGGCAGAGGGAGTGGAGTTGGAGTCCAAAAGCTCTTTGCCTGACTTGCATTGGCATGATGTGTCAAGAGCATTCTGGTCCATTAGTGGCTGGAGAGCTATGCCCTAGTAAAAAAATTAAAATTTGTCCTATGACTCAGGGCTGTTTCGATTATGAATGGCCTTTGAGAGTACCTCCAACCTGCAGGTCTCTCCTATTGGGTGAGTACATGCCTGCTCTTTCCAGGAGCTAAAGACCCCGCCCCCCATTTGCTTTACAGGGCCTGTTCTAGTGTCCTTGAGACCAGGCTCTGGGATTGTGAATTCTCTGCCACAATTTCCTGAGCAAGAGCCATCCCAGAAGACCACAGAATCCAACCGGTACCAAAACCAGGAAGAATGGATGCCACTGGAGGAGATCCAAAAGCAAAGCAGTGTCCCGGACAGGAAAAGCCAGAAGAAAATGGAGGAGAGACTGCAGAATGATAGCCAGATGCGGCTTTCCAATGGCTTTGATGTGTTTGAGTGCCCCCCGCCCAAAACTGAGAATGAGGTCTGGCTGTGTGGAAGCACGGGGGGCCTGAATGTGAGGGTGGGAGAAGGGAGAGAACAACAGGTGACAGCTAGCCCAAACGGCATGCTTCATTTGTGATCCCCTGAGGCCATTGGCTGTCTCTTACATGAATACAGCACACAGCACAATGGGGCAGCTCTGTTACAAGGGTAGGCTCTCTCTACCCAGGTATTTATAGCTAGTCCTTGTCACTGATGACATTAATACATTTCTGCTCTTAACCATACACTGAGGTGATGGTCACCCAGAGGTCCCCTAGACCATGCAAAAATCAGTACGCTCTATGCCTTACCCGAGCAGAGCCACAGCATTTTCATTGGTTTCCCCTCTCTAGCTGGTACATAGCGCTGGCTTATTCAGGAGATGGTCCTAATTGAGGAGATTCCCAGCTGGACCATTGTAAGAGTTATTGGCTTCACTGGCCTTTACGGGCATGCTGCTTTTCAGGAAATCTGGTCACTTGCCCAAATGTGGGAGAGAAGCTTGCCCCTTGGGAGGAGCCAATAAAAGCTTCCCCACAGTTTTGTCAGGAGAGGGCCCACAGAGCAGGGGTGGGCAAAATATAGCCCACAGGCTGGATCCCACCTGAAGAGGCAATTTCTCTGGCCTGCAATGGGTCCCTTGGTCCCTCCTGGCCCAGACACCATCCAGCCCATGGTGCATCCTGCCACCGTCTGAGCACACAGTGGGGCTGGGGCAGCTCTGCTGCTTTCTAGGCATCCCACACTGAGCTGGCCCCAGCCCCGTGGTACTGGTGCAGACCACATGCACAGCCCTGCCCCCGGCCTGCCCCAGACTCAGCCTGGCAGAGTGGACCAGCTCTAGATCAGC